TTTGAGTATATGTCTCACAATTTTTACTTCTTGCAATTCTGAGGGGGAAAAAAATACAGAACTTTGCATTATGAGAATTCTGAGTTTGCATTGCTCAATTCTAACTTTTTTCTCGGAGTTCTGAGTTTGCAATTCTACTTTTTCCCCGCCATGGGATTTAGACCGTTTTTCTCAGAATTCCAGAAAAATTGTGAGATAAACACAGAATTGCAGAAAAGGCAGAATTGTGAAATAAATTTTTAAAAACCCTGCAGTTCTGTTTTTTTTTATTTATTCTGTGGTGAAAACTGGCTTCCATAGTTGCCCAAACTGATGTTAGCTTATAAAAAGCTAATAATAAAAATGTCAAAATGAAATATATTTTAAATAAAACATAAAAACAAATTAAAACACAAATAGATGAAATATTTGATTAGTTTACCTGCATGTCATGTCGGCTAATTGACATCAGAGAACCATGAACATGTGAAAGTGTTGTTAAATTGTTAAAATATTAACATAAAATCTCAGGGTTGCTTCAAGTAAATATTTTAGGTTAAAGAGGTTTGGCTGATGAAAAGTTTGGGAATCCCTGCATTAAATAAAGTAATATAAAAGCACAAAAAAAATTTTAGTTAATGGATCAAGTTGATATTTTAATGTGATGATCTGTGTGAACTTGAGGAGGACTGACTTCATACATCCACTAAAAATCACCAAAACAAACTGATTCACACACATTAAGCACAAAAGCTGAAGAAAAGTGACGTTGAGGTGAAAAGATCCTGCAGCATTTGAGACAATTGATCTGTAAGTGTGACTAAGTGCCCATACAAGTGACTGCATACAAATTCTGCATACTTTTGTTTATGCCAATAACAGTAATGTACAAACCCTGAAGTAGATGATGGAGGCAGCCAGCAGCACACCTAAACTCTGCAGTAAATCTCCCAGCATGTGAATGAAAGTGGCTTTCACGCTGGTGCTCCTGTGCTCTTCTGTGAGGCCGTGACTGTGAGAGTGATGGACTGGAGACTGATGGAGAATGAAAGCCAAACTGATGGAAACACATGAAACACTGAACATGCCATTTCCCAACAAACACTATTAATGAAATCAAATAGCATCACTCACAAGATCTTAAGCGTTACAGCACATGCATCACTGTGCATCTCATAATCATCACTGATGAGCCTCTGAACAGCAAAGAGAACAAGAACCACCGTCACAGTCCAGATGGACAGAACAGACAGAAGAGACCCTAAAACCTCTGGACAAAACAAACGACACAAACACTGTGGCAAAAGTTAGATTTTTTGTGTTTTTGAGAGAAGTGGCTGCGATTATTTGATCAAAAATATACTAATCATTTTGTGAAATATTACTACAATTTAAAAGAATCGTTTTCTGTGTGAATATATTTTAAAATGTAATTTATTTTTACATTTTTAGTAGCAATTACTTCAGTATTCCATTTCCCCTTTAGAAATCATTCTAATATACTGCTTTGCTGCACAAGACACATTTCTGATTATTATCACTGTTGAAAACAGTTGTGCTGCTTCATATTTTTGTGGAACAACTGATACAGAATTAAGAAAATAAATATTACTTTTATTCAGCAAGGACCGATTAAATAGATCAAAAGTGACAGGAAAGACATTGATAATGTTAAAAAAAATAAAAGCAAAATTTTTTTTCTTGAATACATGCTGCTCTTTTGAACTTTATATTCATCAAAGAATCCTGAAAAAAAATGTATCACCTTTTCCACAAAAATATGAAATGGCAAAAACACTGATAATAATGTTTCTTGAGCAGCAATTTAAATGACATTTTAAAATATATTAAAATAGAAGACTATTTTAAATTTGATTATGCTCTTGGTGAGCATAAAAGCATTTAGTATGTGCATATAAATATATATACACACACACCTGATCAATGCCATCCAAAGGTCCGATGTTTGGACGGTGGCCTAGAGGAAATCCACAGTGCGAAGAGACTGATCGAAATGCTGCCAAAGTCAGTGAGAAGATGTGCAGCATCGGTCATTATGAGCAGCGTAACCACATGCGAGAGCAGAACGTCAACACAAGTCTCAAATGCAAGTTACAGTAAGTTCATGTCCATTTTATTTGTCAACTGTACTTTTGCAATCAGCAGGTTATACAGCAGATTAGGTCCTTTAATCAGAGCATGTCCTTTTATTCTCACCAATGACTTCATCATGAAGAGAACACAGCAAAATAACCAAACTCAGAATCTGAATTTTAATGCCTTTTTTTTTTTTGGCAAAAAGTACATCACATCACACGGAATTTAACGTGCTAATGCTAATAACTTATGCTGATATACACCTGAGTGGGCAGGAATGGCCATTCCTACAATCACAGTGCTTCCTGTTAAAGAACACAAAGAAAGTAATAGTTAAGTAAAAGAAGCAAAATAAGAACAGCTAGCAATATTAGCAAGACCATCACCATTGGTGAATGTTACTAGTTGATAATTCCACTATATTTATACACTACCATTTGGGAGTCATGCTCACCAAATCTGCATTTATTTTACTGAAAATACAGTAAATGTACTTAAAAACATTAATATTGTGGGAAAAAACAACAAAATCTATTTGAATAAAATGTCAAATGTAATTTTAAAAAAAGTTGAATTTTCAAATGTCTTTACCCTCACTTTTGATCAAATGAATGTGTCCTTGCTGAATAAAAGTATTAGAAAAAATCTTACTGATTCCTTACTGTATGGTATCTATCTATCTATCTATCTATCTATCTATCTATAAACAACAAAATCTATTTGAATAAAATGTCAAATGTAATTTTAAAAAAAGTTGAATTTTCAAATGTCTTTACCCTCACTTTTGATCAAATGAATGTGTCCTTGCTGAATAAAAGTATTAGAAAAAATCTTACTGATTCCTTACTGTATAGTATCTATCTATCTATCTATCACACAAAAATGTGCATCTGTTGTTCACCTGAATTTCCAGGTGCTGGACTGGGAATAGGCTGTCCTGTTATTACTGTGTCATTGCCTGTAAACCACAAAATACAGTGATTTGCATGATTTACAGTGCCATCTTATTAACAATTGCAGGCACAGGCAGAATCTGGTAAGCTTGTGATGCAGGCTCCAGAGCTGAAAGCATGAGTCCCGCTCCTCACCTCTGTTCTGCTCCTCTGACATCTCCGCCTCCAGCTCATCTGGATCCACATAGTGAAAATGATCTTCGTTCTCTGAACCGCCACATTTACCGCAACAGCAGCAACAGCAGAAAAAGCAGCAGCAACATGTGAAGATCACTCCCAATCCCAGGAGTGCCTGAACCAAAAAATAGAAAACAATTACTTGTTTCTTACTAATTTTGAGCTGCTGATTGCATTTTTGCTTTCAACAACCATTTGTAAGGTGAAGACGTCTTGTACGGTTGCCTAATTAGCAGCAAAAACTGCACAAAGACATGATTCCTGTCTTCCTCTGAGCCAGATTACAACTATTTCTTCAATTCTCGGCTGATTTGAACATGTATGAATGATTCTGTAGACATTTTTTAATGGCTAATCTTGATTTCAAGGTTAAAATTATGTCCAGTGACAGAAGAACATACACTACATCTGTGGATATTTTACTGCATCCAAACAGTGACAGAAAATGACAGATTTTGTGAATTAAAAAAAAAAATCATATTTTTTTTGTTATTTTGCTAAGTGCATTAAAGCTGATACATATAATTTGAAAAATCTTCATCTTGGTCAAAAAACTGTACGCGATCATGGAATGTGGTTATTAATATTTTTGAACTCAGCATTATGAAATCAGATAATATTGGGCCTTTTTTTTTTTTTTTCAAATTACCAGATTTTTTCAAGATGCAGTGCCATGACTTTTATTATTTACACTGCATATAAAAGTAGAAATAAAAACAAATAAGAAACAAACTACTCACCTTAAACCAGCATTTGGACATGAGGAAGTAGTATTTAACGCCCTCCTCTCCGAACTGCTCTGCGGCGTAGAGGCCCATGGAGCCATATTCGTCGTAGATCTGTCGTTTGGTGTCGTCATTGAGGATGGCATTGGCATTGTTGATCTCTTTGAACTTCTCTGCTGCTTCAGGGTTGTTGGGGTTCTTGTCTGGGTGATACTTCAGTGCCAGTTTCCTTAAAGGGTTAGTTCACCCAAAAATTAGCCCATAAATTACTCGCCCTCAAGTCATCCTAGGTGTATATGACTTTCTTCTTTCAGACAAATCCAGTCGGAGTTATATTAAAAATTGTCTTTGATCTTTCAAGCTGTTTAAAGCCACTCAGCGGATGTTGCAGTGCTTCAGAAGAAGTGAAATAAAAAGCACCCATCCTTAATAAAAAGTTCACCCCCCCGGCTCCGTGGGGGTGAACAAAGTCCTCCTGTCGCGAATCGATGCGTTTTTGTAAGAAAAATAACCATAGAAGACGAGTGAGACAAAAAAAATTATTGGATGGGCGCTTTTTATTTCACTTCTTTTGGACTGATGCACTGTCTGCAACACCCGCTGACTGCCATTAAACAGCTTGAAAGATCAAAGACAATTTTTAATATAACTCCGACTGGAAAGACGAAAGTCATATACACCTAGAATGACTTGAGGGTGAGTAATTTATGGACTAATTTTCATTTTTGGGTGAACTAACCCTTTAAGGTGGGGATTTATAACACAAAGCCTTTATAGGGATGTTGCATTTGTGATTTCTTGATTAGTATAAGCTATAAACCAGAATACCTGTATGCTTTCTTAATATCCTCAGATGAAGCTCCTTTCGGCAAGCCTAATATCTCGTATAAACTCTCTCCAGATCGGGACAGCTTGCGCTGAGGGCGGCTTGTATCTGCCATAGTCAAATTCTGCTAAAAACACTAAAGACTGAAGATCACAAATGGAGACAGTCATTATGCCATTCTTTCAAAATATTTCTACTCTTATATAAAAGTATTTGGACACTTATGCTGCTTATGCCACATTTGTATGCCTAAAAATGGATGCCATTGCATTAGACAACAACATATCAAAGCATTGAGCGATTATAATAAAGAAAAAATAACAATGGCATTCATAAATGTAGTCCAATTGAGTCCAAATAGGGCATACATGTGCATACAACACACTGAAGAAATACAACCAAACAAAACAAGAAATAACGTAATAGTATCAATATTCTTTATCCATTTAAAAAGATGTTAAGTGTAAAGAAATATCCAGTTAGTAATTCATGCACAAAACGACTATGGACTCCCACATGACTAATATTTCGTTTACAAACAATGTTTCCGCTTTTATTACGAACTATATATTACGAAAGCATTTTACATTTGTATTTTCAGTAGACTGGCGCTGAGCTCAGGACTGTTAGAGATCAACACATGACTGAGAACTAATAAATCAATAAAATCGATCACTTACCGTTTATGAAAAGTAGTCGATTTTTAATAAAGTTACTTGTGTATTCATTTCTACTAATATTTACAGCGTTTAAACGGCGAAAAGTGAAGTGGAGCCATTGATCTTGAGCAGAGTTTAGACCAGGAAGTAGGAAATAAAGTTCCTACGCCAAGTACTAAAGCTCAAGAGCAGCGGTGAAAAGTGAAAGTAACTTATCTGGCTTTGAGTTTGAAAACCCCGGTTAAGGCCCAGCTAACAGAGAACGTTCTCAGAACATTGGCGAACGTTCTCTCGAAGTTATGAACAAACGTTCTTCCAGTAATATATTTAAAAAGTTATCTACTCTTTAATAACGTTCTCAAAACGTTCTTTATGTATAATTCACGAAACTTTTTTTTTTTTACTTACATTTTTAAAATGTAACCAATTGTTTCAGAATGTTCAGAGAACATATAAAAGTAACGTTCCCAGAATGTCTGCAAAATTATAAATGAATGTTATGAAATTATTGTTTCCTTACCCTTACGAAAAAGAAGTTTATTCAAGTGTGCTATTAGTATACTTCTTTTAAACAAAAAAAAATAGGAAAGTATACTTTGTCTACTTTTTATGTACTTCTCAGAAAGATACTTAAAATGACATTTAAGTATACTTGACTTAAAGCCTACTTAGAAAAAGTCTAAATATATTTGAGCTATACTTAGAACCCGTGTTTTCATTGTTATACTGTAAGGGGTGCCAGTACACATTTTCTATACAGAATTTCCAAAAAACACAAGTGAAGAAGAAACCGAAACAACAGATGCTTCCACATGTAATCGAATGCTGTGTTCAAGTCCTCCTGGGACGTTCGTATTTACGAGTTGACAAGTCCTAATTACGATGTCAGGTGCGTTCAAGTCAGTTTAGTCGGCACAAGATGGCGGTGTACCTTCTTTTAATAAATTACAAGAAAATACAACAGGGTCTGCATTTGTTTTACTTGGATTTAATTAACTAGCTGCGTAACAAGAACATGACTAATTTAAGTTTATAGGACAACTAAACTATCAATTTAAACAAAAATTTACCGTCAACTACAGACGTTGCATCCATCGATTCCGCCATGTTTCTCATTGACACGCCCCCAACTCAGAAACTCGGGGCTTAAAGGGGTCATATGATGCAAAAGTTAAACAGACGAACAGAACATTCAAAACATTCGAACAGACGATCTACGCTGATTATTGTATATGATCAAGAGTTTCCAATTTTGATGATTATTTTCCCATTATTTTTGTTGGCCTCCATACGTTGATGAGCCATTTCAACATCCTCCATGTTGAACATGCTGTCTATCACAGGCCACAAGGGAGGATCTGTTGACTGGAAGTGGGGCAAAACCTGCTCTGTGAAACTCCGGACCAGCTCTGCTTTATACTAGAAATAAAACACAATCATAAATGCAAAGTGCATAACTTTTAATGCTACAGAAACATATTCCTTTTAGTCTACAGTTTATGAAGAAAATTTGTCAAATCTGAAGTAACTAGTATTCCTGAGTCTAACCTGTAAACTTCTTGATCTGAGGAGACTGCAAAGAAGATGGCCTCTCTTCCTCAAAAGCTTGCCAAGCAAGTCTCCATCGGCCGTTTTACCTCCCAACATGCCATAAAGTACCCATCGTCCATCTGTTGCAAGGCTACAAATGTTCTTCTCCCAAAAAGATCCACCAACACAGTCCAGAATTACATCAGCCCCATTGCCTGCACAAAAACACAGAATTTAAAGTAAATGTGTTCATTTTAATATAGAATGTAATATTATAAACACATTCCGAACACTAGAATACTGACCTTCAGTGAACTGCAGTACTTTTTCAGAAAAATCCTCCTCTTTGTAATTGACTCCCGCAGCTGCTCCCATCTGCTCTGCAAATTTTAACTTTTCCGAACTCCCTGCTGTTACTACAGGAATCGCACGGCTCAAGCGAACCAGCTGAATGGCAGCGGTGCCGATTCCACTCGCTCCAGCATGAATCAACACCGTCTCATTCGGCTTCACTTTGGCTATATAAAACAGCAGCATATGGAAATATAATGGCCTTAAAATGCATTTGAATGCTTAAAAGAAATAATCGAAAAATTAATGTTTGCTGAAAATATACTCACCCTCAGACCATACAATATGTAGATGAGTTGGTTTCTTAAACAGAACAGATTTGTAGAAATAAAGCACTGCATCACTTGCTCACCAATGGATCCTCAGCAGTGAATGGGTGCCGTCAGAATGAGAGTCCAAACAGCTGATAAAAACATCACAATAATCCACAAGTAATCCACACCACTCCAGTCCATCAATTAACATCTTGTGAAGCCAAAAGCTGTGTGTTTGTAAGAAACAAATCCATCATCAAGGAGTTTGAACTTTAAGATGCTTGCTTCTGGGCAAAATAATGGTCTATAATCTATAATAACACTTCAGTGAAAAAGTCCATGCACATATTTGTTTAGAACTGCTTTGGACTGTTTTGCTTGTAAATGGTGCTTGATCTGTGCACATTTCTTTCCTGATTCATACGAGACAACTTTTTTCACTCAAGAAAACAATATTATGGATAGAGGACTCGTATTTTAGCAAGAAGCAAAGCTCAAAGTAAAAAATCTCTTAATTACAAACATGCAACTTTTTTCTTCACAAGACATTAACTGATTGATTGGTGTGGATTAATTGTGGATTATTGTGATGTTTTCATCAGCTGTTTGGACTCTCATTCTGACGGCGCCCATTCGCTGCAGAGGATCCATTGGTGAGCGAGTGACGTAATGCTACATTTCTCCAAATCTGATGAAGAGACAAACTCGTCTTGGATGGATTGATAGTGAGTACATGTTCAGCTAATTTATTCATTTATTTTTTGTTAAAAAGTTACATGTAAAGACAATAAAACTCAAAGCAAGCCGACATTGAGTTACCTATGAAGTGCAGAAGTTGGTAGGCAGTCAGCCAGGCCTCAGGAAGAGCTGCAGCTTGATAAAGAGTGAGGGGTGATGGGACAGGCATGACGAGTTCTTCTGGAACAGCTACATATTCTGCATAGCCTCCTCCTCCGAGTAAAGCCATTACTTTACTTCCAAGTTTCCAATTCCCTTTGACCCCAGGACTAATATCAACGATCACACCGCTGGCCTCCAGACCCAAGATCTCACTCTCTCCAGGAGGAGGAGAGTAAAGACCCCTTTTCTGTCAATTAAAATAAGCCATCAATGAGATTCAGTTTATCCAAGGCACAAACACTAGCAGGATTTTATGGTTTACCTGTAGTAGGTCAGCTCTGTTTAAAGCGGTTGCGGTGACTCTGATGAGGAGCTGCCCATCTTTGGGTTCAGGCCGTGGAATATGTTTCAAATCCAGCTTCCCTGATTCATCAACACACACTGCCTGCATTGACTAGAAATTAAGAAGAAATACAATCTTTTTGCAAAGTTTCTTAGTTCTAATTTGCCTTTTATCATTTTATGTTGTTTGTTTTCCCCTGCAATACATTGGCAATGTGATTATAAATATAAAAAGGGACTTTAAAGTCATTTGATTATAAAACTTTGAAAATTAGTATTTAATAATTAAGCAAATTTTTTTACTTACCGTTTTCTCTTCTTGCATTTGTTGCTTTGACATTTAAATGCGATCTAAAACAAACAGGACATAAGCTTTACTTTAAAACCTAAAATTAAAACAAAAGAAATGAGAAATTTAAGCGGAGCTTCATATCTCAAAAACACTACACTGTCGCAAGGTAACTTGACATACACATGCACTAAAATACAGTAAGTGAATTGCATTAACGTTTGCTTTTCTGCGCAATTTCAACGCACATGACTTCAAAAATTCTGCCACGATCATTAAAAAAATAATGCACATCAATGAATTATAACAGACAATAGATCAGTGCAGAAGAGCTTGTTTTTGCATGAATGACTTCGACTTTAATTCTTCAGTTCTGCTGTCTGACAATACTCAAACTATAGGCTACTTAAAATAACCCACTTCCTGCAAGAGAAAACATTAACGAAATCAACTTAAGAGTCATTTTAAAGGAACCTTACCTCATTAAACCACTCTTTAAATCGATGTTTTGATGCTGTGAATGTTGTTTACTGGACGTTGGTCTTTAGCATGTCTGAACTGATCATCAACTACAGTTAAATGCAATGCTGGAAATAAAAAAGTAGTACCTCCCCCCCCCCAAAAAAAATACCATGGTAATCATAGAAAAATACCATCGTTACCATGGTAGAACTACATTCAAAATGAACCACATTCTGACTCTTCTTAAACAGTTTGAAGATCGTTTATTAATTTATGATCTTGTAGTTGTAATACTCCCCATCTTAGGTTTTTACATTACAAGTAGCATAAACAAGCCCAATTTACCCAAACTGTAAAAAAATAATTTATTTAACAATATATAATATTATATTAAACCTCATCACCCAGTTCTCCAAATTTCTTGGCTAGAGGATATTATATAATACTGATTTGTAACTATAATAATTTCACCCGTTTTATTGCAAAAGAAGACAATAAACACATTGGGGGATAAATAAATCAGAATACAATAGTAAACACTAGATCATCTTACTCTGAGATACCAAACTACTGAGATATGAAATCATTTATAACACATTTTTAGAAAAATAGTAAATGTCACAAAGGAGTTGTGAGCTATTAAATGGAGATCTGAATGGACTTCAACCTTTCATCTTTACTTTGACACAATAGTGATCATGTGACCGAATGACTTTGAAATTCAATACCCGGAAACCTGACCGAACGAAAGACACTGTTTATATGTTTAAGTGTCATAGCAGCAGATTCTAAGTCTACATGCTCATACGAGACGAGAAACCATATGCAGCAGCTTCACGTACAGTACATTTACATTTATTATTTATACACAATATACATATTTGGGCAAAATAAATTAGCTTTGAAACATTAATTGAGACTGAGACATTAACTGAAGCTTCTGAGACGTTTGAACCCACTGTACGTATGTATTTGAGCAGTGTGTTTTTAAAATAAATTTACCTTGAAACAATCTGCATTTTGTACTCAACCAAAACCTGGTTGTTTCATTCCATTTATTTGTTTCAAAGAAACATCTCAAAATGTCAATACAGCTAAGCATTAAGAGACC